GCTTTTATAGGCAGGAAACTAACACAACAGAAGACACCAGAGAGTAATATTTATCTAAGGACAGACAAAACAGCTGGAACCAAGGACAAAACAGACTGAAATTAATGCAAAATACCCTGGAATAAGACTATAAATGTGAGTACAGGAATCACACTTTATGGATAGAACCTCCCCTCTACTGGGTGGCACCTGACTCCCAAAAAACCTAAAGCCTCACCAAAAAAAGAAAATATGAGTGGGATGCCAGGGAGAAAGTCAAGGACAGAAGGAGTGTCATTGTCTGTGTTTAGTTTCTTTGCATTCACATGCTGCTTGTGTCTGAGTGTTTTCCGGTGTCATATCTCATCTCTCCCTTTACCAGTATTCTCAGTATTTTTCCAGTCAGTCTGCCACCAACTGTCCCCAATTAGTGATCATCCCATATGTTTCCTGATGCATGCCCAATAATCTGGGTAGCACATCTAGTCAGATCATCTGGACAGTTTCTTCTTGTTGAAACGTTTCATATTTTATCCAAAAGACTTCTTCAATCTGAGGAGCTGTAACAAACTCATTCTTATAAATAGCACCTTCTCATAAGCCCCTTATCCACGGGGCTTTTTGGTACTCCTATGTAACTAGTTGTGGCCGATTGCGTGTTTTATCAACAATGCCTCTAGTGGTGGAACCCACCCCATTTTTGGGACCTAAATCACTGAGGTCCCAGGTCTGGTTCTTGTAGGGTCTAGTTGTGACATCAGCGCACTGTAGGTCACTGATTGGTCAGGGGGCGTATTCATTGGTGGAGGGCGGAGATTCAGTCTTCCACCGGAAATCACAATCCACCATTTTCTTTTTCACCCGCATAACAGACAACAAGAAATCGGAGGAGCTTATTTTGGAATATTTTATAAGGTAAAACAAATAATCATGGCACAACCGTGGTCGAATGCTGAAGTTCAGGCATTTCTCTGTTTGCTGGCCGATGAACAAGTGCAGCGCGAGCTAGATGGAACGAAACGAAATAAAAAGATTTTTCAAGAGGTGTCTGCGCAGATGGCGGTGCAGGGCTCCATCGCACACCAAAGCAAAGAGGAAAGCTTAAAAAACTAATAGTTGATGGTGAGTGTATTTTATTTACTTTAAGCATATTTCCTTTTCCTCATGCAACCGTTTCTTTGCGTTTTCTGAAAGTACTCTGAACAAACGAGGCTGACTCGGTTACGTCGTCATTAGTTAGCATCATTGCTAACTGTACTCTGTTGCTGTTTTTCCACTCTTATTTTGATGCAGAAAGTCCCACTGAACATGAAGGTTCGCCAGATTCTGCTTTTGACTGTCCAATCCTCCCCGCTTCTGACCCTTCCCGACCACACCAGCTCTGAGTACATCCACACCACCGGGCAACACGCAGCAGAGCGGCACCAAACAGCACCCGTTACTAGGTAAGAAGAAGCAACAATCGTGTTTAACATCACATTGATCATGTTGATATGAATGTTGTTTTGTTTTTGTTGTAAAACACCTTGCATGTATTCAAACTACTTGTTTATTCATTTGTAATGTATAAATGTTAAATTTAGTTATTCATTTATTACTTAAACTTTCACTTATGAAGTTTATTATTGAAATTATACAGGGTGTAGTGATTTTTGTTCAGATTAACGATGCTCTGTTCTTTTTCTAAATTAGCACAAACCGTTGTAAATGACTACATGTAGTTTATTTATGCCCACCTGCTTACTATCATTAAAGTACTAGACTGCTTTATGAACAGAATCATTTCTGATCTTGTGAACAAACACCTTTTGAAATTAGCAGGAACTTTAATGTAAATAATTTATTTAAAAACTCTACCTGTACTTCATCATCTAACAGCCATTTTCTTGTGTGTTATTCCTAGGCAATAGAAAGCGCAGATCAACAAGTGCAGCAGAGAGCTTTGTTTCTGCACATACAGAACAAGAGGAGATGAACCGGAAGCAGAGAGAGGAACACTTCCATTTTATTTGTGAGGATGCCAAAAAGGCAAGGCAAGAAGAAGCTGCGGAGAGGCAACGCCAAGCTGCAGCAGCGAGGAAGCAGGAGAAGGCAATAGACTATATGCCACGGGTAGTGGTGACGTACTTCCGTTAAAATTTCAGAAGGGTCCATCACTTCCGGCTCCTATCCACTGCAGTTGTTTGTAGCATAAGCTACTAGTAGTAACCATGAAAAAGACTCAAAACGGAAAGCGTCTGCGATCTACTGGCACTGCAAGTCAGTTCTGTTGTGTGCCGTTGTGTCCACTAACCAGTAGGTACAATAGAGTAGTTAGTTTTTTCCATTTTCCTGCCGATGAGGAGTTAAGGCGACAATGGACCGTGGCTATCCGCAGGGAAAACTTAGCTTTTAAAGTTCACACCCGCGTTTGTAGTCGGCATTTCAAACCTGAGGACATTCAAGAGCCAGGATCCGAAAAGGGAAGACGGATGTTAAAAAAGGGAGCTATACCTGCTTTGTTTGAATGGAATAATTACTCCCTTCCACCTCCAAGACCCGCGGTTTGGGAGAGAAGGAAAAGACCACCTCCAGAGGACAGCGAGGAGGAAGATAATACAACAGCCAGTGTAGACACCCATAAGGATCACGATTATGCTGCTAGTCCAGACCCTGCAGTTGTGGATTCAGTGCTGGAGGAAAATAATAATCTCCGGGAGGAAGTCCGCCAGCTACGGGAACAGGTTGAGAGCCTGACGCTGAGGCAGCGATTCGGCATTCACCGTTTTGCATCCTCCGACAAGGACATTAGATTCTTCACAAGGTGTGTGTGTGTGTGTGTGTGTGTGTGTGTGTGAGGAGGGGGATGCGCGCGCGTTTGTGTTACACAGAGTATAAAATTATTTTAGAAAACCTTTTCACGAGTTATATGCTAAAGCGAAAAATTCAGTTTGAATTAAGTTCGCTCTCTCTCTGTCTCTCTCTATATTTAATGTGTGTGTGTGTGTCTATGTGCCTAGGTATATTATTTGTGTGTATGTATACATTTCATTTATTTTAATTTTTTGTGTTCATTTCATACTTAAAGCCCCAAAAAAACAATTTACAAAACCACATGAAAAAAATACATAAAATGAAAGGTAGCAGAAGAAATAATCTTATCATATCAGCCCCTTCTTTAAAACAAAATTAACTCAAAATATCAATTCAAACAACAGTCATCTATGAATAATGTAACATGACAAATAACTAATACCAATCTTCCATATAAGTATTTATATTCTAAATTAATTACAGTATTACAGCACAGTGCCTGGGGTTGAATTTATTTTTAAGTATGCTGTGTAGTTTAACATGGACACTAATTGTTATGGTATGTTTTTTTTTTCAGGTTTGCATCATAAGACCTCCTGATGCATTTCTGGGGCATGATTGAGCCCTCTCTGCCATCCATGGTCAGTGTTCGCCAAGGACAGAGAGGAACTGCCCTCGACTCCACTCCATCAACTTGTACTTTGCAGCCCATCGATGAGTTTTTCATGTTTTTAAATTACCTTGCCCTTGGATCCAAGCAACGTGATCTTGCTGACCGGTACGGTGTCCATCAGTCCACTGTCAGCAGGATCATCGCAACATGGAGCAATTTTTTATTTACAGTCTTAGGTTCAATTAGGATCTGGATACCGGAGGAACATATACGAAAACATCTACCGGCAGACTTCAAACACTACCCTGACACTACAGTCATCCTTGACTGCACTGAGCTGAGGTGTCAGTGCCCATCTTCCCCTCTCCTCCAGAGTGAGGTGTTTTCATCTTATAAATCCCACTGCACTCTGAAAGGGCTGATTGGGATTGCACCTCATGGGGCAGTGACATTCATCTCTGGACTGTATGCTGGGTCTATCAGTGACAAGCAGATCACCCGTGAATCTGGTCTCATCACGCTGTTAAAACCAGGGATGGCTGTTATGGTGGACAGGGGCTTTCTTATTGATGACATTGTTCCCTGCAAAGTTTACAGGCCAGCATTTCTGTCTGGCAGGTCTCAGATGTCTGCTGAGGATGTTAGAGAGACCCAGGACATAGCACGTCTCAGGGTGCAAGTGGAGCGCCTCATTCGCCGGGTCAAAGAGCACAAGTTACTTGACTCTGAAATTCCCCTAGGTGTTTTTGGTATAATCAACCAACTGTTCACTGTTGCTTGTCTACTCACAAATTATGAAAATGGCCCACTAGTAAAGGCCTGGGCAAAGAAGCCTGACATCTGAGTAACAGCAAGAAAATATGCTGTATATCTATGTTTGATTTTGTTTTTTTGTACTTACAATAAAATTAAATCACTGTCATAAATATTTCAATTTCTCTGAACTTTTTCCATTAAATCAGTTCTTTTATAACATTTTTCATATAAGTCAAGCCATCAAGTGGGATATTGAAATACAGTACTAATAAAACTGAAATGAAAAAATTTATTTTATTTTTTATTTTTTTCAAAAAATGCCACTCATCTAGTGAATGCAAACTGTTGAAACAGAAAAACACAGTTCACAAAGAGGGTATGATTATAACAGCCTAATAGCTAATTTCAAACAGAATAAATTGTATCTGACCTTAAAGAGAAATACATAAATCTAACTGCTTAAAAATAATATAAATGGAAGGAACATGACACAAGTATTAACAGTATTTTCAATCATATATACAAAGGTTAAAATTTGACTATGTTACCTTAATTTGCCAGGCAAGCGCTGAGGTAAAAATAAAAAAAGAAATGGTCAACCTTTTGTTTTATGGTTTGCAGTACTTGCATGTCACGGGGAACCCTCTCAATAAACATGTCATTTTCTGTGTAAATGACAAAGTCACACCAGTCACACCCTGAAATTAGCATTTGTCCCTGGATTTGCCAGTAATATGGGGTGTGTACGTTTGAGTGTCTGCCTACCATCCCTAATCATTATGTAAGAGGTGTGGACGGGTCCTGGGAACTACCTTTGCTGGCAGCTGATATGACAGAACACTTCCCTCTTGTACTGGACCAAACAAAGAGTCAACAAGAGGGACATCATTGGAGACAGCCATTGTGGTGATAATTGGCGCTTCTTCAGCTGGAAGTCCCCGGTACACATCCTGTATCCTTAGGGTCGAGATGAGTGGCAGAGGGCTGGTAGTGCCTTTATACAAGTTGCTTCTGTTGAGAAAAATAAAAATTTGTCATAAACAAGACATTAATAGGCAAATGATGAAATTTATACTAAATAAAGCCTATGTTATTGTATTTTAGGTAATAAAGTTATTGTCTTGTTTAAAAACGAAATTTTATTAGTTACTTATTTGCATTTTTAACCTATCTCTGGCATAGTACAACATAAGCTTAAGTACCATACCATAACATTTTATGTATAAAGCACATAAAACAGCAAAACATGCACTTTTTGTGCATGTGTTGTGATAGTAAATTTAATGAATTTTTAAAAATGTGTGTGTGTATGTTTGTGCATGTGTCTGTGTTCTTTAAATTAAAACAAACCTAATTCCTTCAAAGATTTTCCTCTCTCTTGGTTTTGCTGACAGGACGACCATGTCCTTGTAGTGGACTAGGCCCATGTCAAAAACTAAGTCTAAGGTAAAAAATCTTGACCTTTAGAACCTTGTGGGACAGGAACTGTCATTTCATTCATTTGAACTCAGAAATACAGGTTCACCCATCCTGAGACTTTCTTTCTTGAAGATTCAAGTGAAAAGAACACTCTCTTTTATTATCATTACTATTTTTCAAATGTTGATAATCAAAGTGTCTTAGTTCAAACCATTTTAGATGTTGCAGTGAACTAATCGATTTTATTAACTGAGTAATGATTTTTATTCTCATGTCAAAGCTGTTACAGAATAATTATGCATTTTCTGATTTCTGCCTTTGAGTGAGCAAGTGTGCGTTTCCAAGGTTGGAATAAAACGCAAAACAAGTTGTTGAACGAACTGTCATGTTTTAGAATCCTCTCAGACGTAAATAGAGAAGTTTTAGCACCTGTTGCTGAAACAGCACCAAAACAAAACTCTCTCTGTCTGTGAGAACATTTCTGATCTGTTTCATAACAATTCTCGCTGTCTCTAACCTCTTACGTCACAAAACACACCCCGTCTGGTCGTTTCTGACCAATGAACAAATCCCAAAAGTGAACCGGGAAACAGCTCTTTAAGATGTCAGTACTTCCTGGTCTACTCGGTCTTGGTTCTGTTGAAGTTCTGATGGAGTGCTGTTGGAGTTCTGCTGGATACACAGTCCAACCAGTTCTGTGAGAGACGGGATGATCCTGACAACAGAGCTCTTCCGAGTTCCATGGGATTATAACATTTTCCACTGAGGTGAATATGTGTCGAACAGAGCCTCGCCATTACTTCGGACGAGTAACAGCATCCTACTGAGACGCTGAAAGGGTGCGTTAAACGGAATCTCACCTGAGACATCTCCAGGTAAAGGAGCCGATTTCATCACCTAAGTGTACTGTAAGGAAAAGCTGAAGAAAGCCGGAGAGTGTCGATTCTGGTGAACACATTTCACCCCTCACACACCATCTTACTCCCTCTAAACTTCTTTCCATCTT